GCCAACGTCATACCAATATACGACCACAAAAATTTTTTTGCGGTCGTATAAAAACTTAACATTGACCAATGAACCATGAAAATGAGGTCAAGGTCAGATGAAACCTACCAGACTGACATGTACACATTACAATCATTCCATACACCACATACTGTTGATCCACTTCTTACAGTATCTGAGAAACAGACCTTATAAAATAACTTTAGTTATGGAATGAGGGCCAGGTCAGGTGAACCCTGTCTGATGGACATGTGGACCGTGCAAGGAACATATATACTAAATATAGTTATTTTATTACTCACAAGAGTGCACACGCTGAAATGTCTCGCCTTCTTTATTAATCATTGATATTATGTTGATAGTCCTAAATATAAAGCTTTATTACAACTGTCACATAAACTTAACATTAACCAAGTAAACTAAACATTGACCAATGAACCATGAAAATGAGGTCAAGGTCAGATGAACCATGCTAGGCAGGCATGTACAGCTAACAATTCTTCCATACAACAAATAGAGTTGACCTATTGCTTATAGTTTAAGAAAAACAGACCAAAACACAAAAACTTAACACTGAGCAATGAACCTTGAAAATGAGGTCAAGGTCAAATTAAACCTGCGTGACTGCCAAATAGATCATAAAATATTTCCATACACCAAATATAGTTGAACTATTGCATACAGTATAAGAAAAACAGACCAAAACACAAAAACTTAACTATAACCACTGAACCATGAAAATGAGGTCAAGGTCAGATGACACCTGCCAGTCCTTCCATACACCGAATATACTAGACCTATTGCTTATAGTATCTGAGATATGGACTTGACCACCAAAACTTAACCTTGTTCATTGATCCATGAAATGAGGTCGAGGTCAAGTGAAAACTGTCTGACGGGCATGAGGACCTTGCAAGGTACGCACATACCAAATATAGTTGAACTATTGCACATAGTATTAGAAAAAAAGACCAAAACTCAAAAACTTAACTTTGACCACTGAACCATGAAAATGAGGTCAAGGTCAGGTGACACCTGCCCGCTAGACATGTACACCTTACAATCATTCCATACACCAAATATAGTAGACCTATGGCATACAGTATAAGAAAAACAGACCAAAACACAAAAACTTAACTATAACCACTGAACCATGAAAATGAGGTCAAGGTCAGATGACACCTGCCAGTTGGACATGTACACCTTACAGTCCTTCCATACACCGAATATACTAGACCTATTGCTTATAGTATCTGAGATATGGACTTGACCACCAAAACTTAACCTTGTTCATTGATCCATGAAATGAGGTCGAGGTCAAGTGAAAACTGTCTGACGGGCATGAGGACCTTGCAAGGTACGCACATACCAAATATAGTTGAACTATTGCACATAGTATTAGAAAAAAAGACCAAAACTCAAAAACTTAACTTTGACCACTGAACCATGAAAATGAGGTCAAGGTCAAATGACACCTGCCCGCTAGACATGTACACCTTACAATCATTCCATACACCAAATATAGTAGACCTATGGCATACAGTATAAGAAAAACAGACCAAAACACAAAAACTTAACGATAACCACTGATCCATGAAAATGAGGTCAAGGTCAGATGACACCTGCCAGTTGGACATGTACACCTTACAGTCCTTCCATACACCGAATATACTAGACCTATTGCTTATAGTATCTGAGATATGGACTTGACCACCAAAACTTAACCTTGTTCATTGATCCATGAAATGAGGTCGAGGTCAAGTGAAAACTGTCTGACGGGCATGAGGACCTTGCAAGGTACGCACATACCAAATATAGTTATCCTATTACTTATAATAAGACAGAATCTAACATTACAAAAAATCTTAACTTTTTTTTTAAGTAGTCACTGAACCATGAAAATGAGGTCAAGGACATTGGACATGTGACTGACGGAAACTTCGTAACATGAGGCATCCATATACAAAGTATGAAGCATCCAGACCTTCCACCTTCTAAAACATAAAGTTTTTAAGAAGTTAGCTAACGCCGCCGCCGCCGCCGCCGCCGCCGCCGGATCACTATCCCTATGTCGAGCTTTCTGCGACAAAAGTCGCAGGCTCGACAAAAATGAGTGAGAAATTCATCTGACAAAAAAACTATACATTTTTCTATGCAGTCACTGATCCATGAACATGAGGTCAAGGACAATGGACATATGACAGACTGAAACTTCGTAACATTAGGCATCTGTATACAAGGTATGTAAGCTCCAGATCTTCTACCCTCTGAAATATAAAGCTTTATACAAATAGTTTACGCCAAAGCTGGATTGTAATCCCTATGTCTTGTACAAGGCGAGACAAAAATGCATGTGTTGTGGAAATTAAAAGTATTTGAAACAGGAAGTAGGTGTCTGACAGATTGAATAAAATGATCCGCTGGGCACAGCTTGATACGACCGCAGAGGTCGAACCCTGAACAGTTGGGGCAAGTATGAACACAACATTCAAGCTTGATACAGCTCTGAATTTGGATTGTGATTAAATATTTGACACAGCATAGGTTTCTGACACAGAATGAATGTGATCTAAGAACTTAAAAAAATTATAATTTACCTATTCAAACCATATCATTATTATTTGCTTTTATATATAAATCAGAAATAACCAACTTAAAATGGAAAATTAAAAAAAAAAAAAAAAGGAAACCCCCCCCCCCCCAATTTTTTGAACCCCCTTATGATTCATCACCCCCAAACTCAATCCCAGCTTTCCCTTTGTTGTATGGTACCTTGCAGTACAAATTCAGAGAGATCCATACACTTGAACACAAGTTATTGTCTGGAAACTAGAAAAATGCTTGTTTTTTGGCCCCAAATTCCTAACGTTTAGGGAAATTACCTAGTTAACGAGTTGCGGAGGGTATAATGTTTTTGACCCGTCCGTCTGTCCGTCCGTCTGTCTGTCCGTCCGTCAGTCTGTCAGTCCTGTTTCTTGTCATCGATTCAATTCTTTTTCCAGGAGTTCCGCCCCTTTGAACTTATTTACTTTAATGTACTACTGCAACAGTTTGTCATCGCAACTCCTCTCAAACCACACAACAGAATTTCATGAAACCTTTTCAGATAATAAGGACATACTACGTAGATGTGCATATCGACAGGAAATTACGATTCAATTTTTTTCCAGGAGTTACGCCACTTTGAACTTATTTGCCCAATATACTACTGCAACCTTTTGTCATTGCAACTCCTCTCAAACCACACAACAGAATTTCATGAAACCTTTTCAGATAATAAGGACATACTACGTAGATGTGCATATCGACAGGAAATTACGATTCAATTTTTTTTCCAGGAGTTACGCCCCTTTGAACTTATTTGCCCAATATACTACTGCAACCTTTTGTCATCGCAACTCCTCTCAAACCACACAACAGAATTTCATGAAACTTTGTAGATAATAAGGACATACTATGTAGATGTGCATATTGACAGGAAATTATGATTCAATTTTTTTTTCTGATACAATTTTTTTTTCTTACACTTATTTTATTTCTCCAATGACAATGTGGGGACGTGGGGTATGTGAGCGCGCTCACTAAGGTTCTTTCATTTCATAAAGATCCATACACTTACACACAAGTTATTGTCCTGAAACTAGAAAAATGCTTGTTTTTTGCCCCTTTTTGGCCACGAATTCCTAAAATTTTGAGGCAATTACCCCCAAAATCAATCCCAGCCTTCCCTTTGTGATATGGTACCTTGCGCTACAATTTCAGAGAGATCCATACACTTGAACACAAGTTATTGTCTATAAACTAGAAAAATGCTTATTTTTGGCCCCTTTTTGGCCCCTTATTCCTAAACTTTTAGGGCAATTACTCCCAAACTCAATTCCAGCTTTCCCTTTGTGATATGGAACCTTGTAGTACAATTTCAGAAAGATCGATACACTTACACACAAGTTATTGTCATGAAACTAGAAAAATGCTTGTTTTTTGCCCCTTTTTTGGCCCTTAATTCCTAAAATTTTGAGGCAATTACCCCCAAAATCAATCCCAGCATTCCCTTTGTGATATGGAAATTTGTGGTACAATGTCAGAGAGATCCATACACTAACACACAAGTTATTGTCTGGAAGTTACAAAAATGCTTATTTTTGGCCCCTAATTCCTTAACTGTTGTTACCATAACCCCCAAAATCAATCCCAGTCTTCCTTTTGTGGTATTGAACCTTATGGTAAAATTTCATAGAGATCCATTCACTTAAACTAAAGTTATTGTGCGAAAACCAATGTGTCTTCTGATGACGACGACAACGCCGACGCCAACGTCATACCAATATACGACCGCAAAATTTTTTTGGGGTCGTATAAAAAGTGCTCACATGTTACACCTCATCAGAGCCAATCTGCTAACTAAATAAGTATTTATCTGTTCAGGAGAAAGATGTAATAAACTATTAACACAGACAAAATGTGAAACAATTCAAAAGACAAACAACGATTTATGACAAAACAATCAACGAAAAAACAAATACATGTATACCACAAACAGCAACCAATAACAACCACTGAATCACAAGCTCCCAACTTTGGACAGGCACATATAAAATCTGGGGAGGTAATCATGTTCATAAGTGCTCAACCCTCCCCTAACATTGGACAGTGGTATAACAGCACAACATAATCATAAACTGTAGACTGTGACAATTGAAACTTCACCAAAACTTCTTATTCATACACTTTGTAAAAAAAGGAAGAAGACTTACATTACCATGGACAAAAGAACAAAGAGGGCACACACTGACAAACTGATAATGATTACCATCATTACTATTATTTGATTTTTTGTTGAAAGTCTTTAAGATCAAGGTCTAAATACAAAAATTTAACTATACCCTTAAACTTCTTAGTTGTTCAGAATATGCATGAAATATTTGATGCTTCAGATTAATAAGGAACAAGCAATCAAATTTATTACAAGAGGAAATGAGTGATAATAAATAACAAATATGTTAATAATGTACATTTAATGATGCAATAACAAAATTCAAATGCAACAAAAATGCTGCCAACAAATTAATGGTTTAAAACCAGACATAAAACACATTCTAGCACACTATGGAAGTAAATCTGGTAATATATATATACATGTATATATATATATATATATATGGGTCATATATATAAGTAAAGATATGTTAATCATTTCATATGGCAGTTATCTTAAACTATCTGATTAAAAATATGATCAAACCTAACGGTAGGTCTAACAATCTTACCAGTTTATAAGTAAGTCATTACCAGACTGGTAAGTCTACTATGCTTATCATTACCAAACTCGTAAGCAGTAACATGTTTATGTCATGATATAAAAGCGTAAGCAGCTAATCAAGTTGTAACTTCTTAAAGGGGCATTAGCTATGAGATTGAACAAAAAAAATTTTTGTTCAATCATTAATGAAAGTGAAATAGTGAAATAATAATTCGCTTTTCACAGTCAGTTTAGTTCAATTTTGTCAAAATAAGATAAGAAACATCGCTGATGAATTATTCACTTGCTAGTTGCAAGTGAATAATTCGACCTCATTGAATCCGTATTCATGTGACCTTCAATTTAACCCCTTAGCTAGAGATGGGTTATGCCTGAATTAGTTCAGTTATTGAAAGGAAAAGAATGTCAACAATGAAAGTGAAACAAGGGTAAACCATTTGATTGACTAATTCGATCCACAAAAACTCATTCTTAAACAGGTAAAAACGATGATTAACATATATTTTTAACCTATAATATGAAATCAAACAGACCTAGGAAAATCCAGTTGCACGAGTTCACTATCTATTTATATCTATATTTATGTTTATATCGGGTTATATGACTGTCGGTAGTCTTCGGAGGTCACCTCGATGGTTAATTAGATGGCGTCTAGACTAAAATACACACGAAATGATGATACATATTATCAAGCCCATGCATTGTAAATTGTTTATTTTAGACTTTTTATAATTTAGATATACGTTTTAGTATGTTATAAATCAAATATGAGAATAAGAGTCAAATCGGTGAACATGAATTTGACAGCTAATGCCCCTTTAATCAGAATAAAACAACATTGTGTGCACATTAGATAACTTGCACACAATAATGTAATCAAGAAATAAAGAACAGTTTCCTTTGTAATTTAAATAAATCATTTAAATGATTATCTCTTCGTTTTCCCTCTCTCTAAATATAAACACGTAACTACAAAAATGCAAGAAATCCATGGGAATAAATCTTAAAGATTCTAGAAATTTAAAATGCTGAGTATGAAAAGGCTTTTATTTAGGTTATCATAAAATTATTTCTAATTATAAATTTCTGTCAACTTTCATTTACTCTTATACCAACATCATACATCTCCTAGTCAATCATACATTTCATTTTTAATGTGATGATTATGCATCTAGACTAATGTGTTATAAGTATTCTATTCTATAAGAATCTTCAACTTAACATTAATAAACCTTTAACCATCAGTGAGAACTGTCTGGCAAGAAAACTATTTATAAATTAACTAAGCATGTAATAAACTTTTCTAAGAAGCAAAGTTAAAACTGCTGCAATGAAAATCATTGGTCCAGTCTTTTGAAGTTTTTAAATGGTCTTTTGAATTCTTATTGATAAAAAAAAACTAATACAAGGTCTTACATTTGTCAGACCCAGCAAGACCCTCATGGGTAGTCACGGTTGTAAAACACCCTATTTGATGAAAGACCTTATTTGGGGAATACAAATTCTAATTCATATAGCTGTAAATTCAGAAATTATTGCGTGCATTTATTATTGCGATTTTTGAAGAATGGACAAAAATGCAAGATTAATTATTGCGATTTCAGGGAAATGTGCATTAAGATATATGGATTAGATACCAGAATGTGAGATCTTATTATCGAGATGCTCACCCAGTCACATTATTCGCATTAATAAAAACCTCACAAAAATTTCTGAATTTACAGTACTTTTATTCATGGCAGTGCCATTGTTGCAATTTTATAAACTATCAAGAAATAAACAAGATTTAGTAAATTTGCATACAAAAAAGTGAAACATTATGTGAAACTGTGTGAACTGAAATCTAAAACTTGTTTAGGGACCTAAGGACTGTCTGAAATAACAATGTATGGGCACTTTTTTAAAAACCTTACCAATCTATATAAAACTCATAAGGATTCCTTTAAGAGAATATGCAACCCAGACATATCTTATTTTTTAAAAGCCCCCCTAAATACTAAGCTTAATTTCATTTGGAAGATGAACTTAGTTTTTCATCAACCCTCTCCTCTCTATACATTTATTGAAACCATATTCATCTCATTTATTATATAAATTTGATCTGAACAAAGCATAACAAATTGTAACCAGTATATCAAGGAAAGAATTTGTTAAAATAATAGAAAACCTGTAAGACATCAGTATTGATGTAGACATTTCATTACATGAACATAAAATTTTAATATCTAAGACGATAAAGGAAGTTTTATGTCCCACTTTTGTAAATCAATCTCTGATCGGTAATCATTAACCACTTCAGAAATCAATTCTACATCAGCATTGCAATTGGTATCATCTTTTCCTTCCACATACATGTAAATTTTGTATATTATTATAACAGTTGCATTTCAAAGGGTTTAGCTGTATTAAATTTCAATGTTGCTGGCATCAATCTAACATTTAATAGCTCAAAATTAGTTGCTCTGTAAATTTGCAACCATCAAAGCTACAACTGATATCCACAAATTTAAGAATAAAACAGATTTTTATTTGTGTCCTTATTCCAACCAGTTATGTTAAGAGTGCAGAGTTTACAGATTTTCTGTGTAACACATTATGCATAATACATGTAATACATTCATTCTGATGTACAAAAAGATGACGTTCACTTTCACTTTCTAACTACATGTACAAGTAAAACCTTATAACATATATAACTGTAAATCTTATGCAACTGTACAAGAACAATCTTCATTTATAAAAAATATTTATAAAGAATATTATCATTTTTTTAAACAAAAACAATAACTCCTTGTTTAAAAATAACAAAAACAATATAGTTGGGCCAAATTGTTTAACTCAGGTTACTGCAGGTTTTGATACAGGAAAAATATACACCGCTTTTGCTAGTGAATATATAATTTGTTTGCTTTTAATGGTAAAAATGCTTTAACTTTAACAGAATTTAAAACATGTTAAATGACGTCATGGCAGAGATTTTTATGGCATAAGCAAATTGCACTTTACACAATTTTTTGACAAGCAGAAAAGATATATCAATCTTGCTGAAATCAATCTTACATTTTATTGTCACAGATATATTCTTGTTCAAAGAGGTCATTTGTTGCATGTTAAGTATATGTATTATTAAAGATCTATTTTGCCAAACAGTCGAATGTGGTTGTTTCTATACATCAATGTATTTTTTTGTTGCCAAAAAGTGACCTGGATATATCCTGGAATACTTGAATTTTCTAATTTCTTTTAACTATCAGATGCACAACATTATTATGCTAAAATTACAACAATCAAGCTGTTTTCGTCTGAGCCATTTTGATTTCTAGATCAACAGATAACAATTAAAATGCTTTTGTAGCAATTTAAATAGCACAGACCACTTGCAACAAAAATAGTAACTTATAAAAAAAAAAAAATGCTTTTTCAACAGTAAATTAAGGCAGTACTGAAATGTGGATTCAAAAATTAAGGAAAGTGAGAGCAGAAGGCTTGAAGCATTGATGAAGTTCTATTGTAATTACAGTTCTGCCACTCTTTTCACAAAAAATCCCATGATTAAAAATAATTGTATGTTATGCTGAAATATACATTAATTTTTCAAGTGTTTTTACTCCGAACATCTTTTTGTGAAAAGAGCCACAGACTATTTCAATCATCCGATTAAGTTCAAACAAAAAAGATGATTACCGATATAATGGCAACTATGAGTATGAACTGTAAGAATTTGAATAAAAAAAACTGACAAAAATTAAAAATAGTTTAGAATGCCACAAAAATCTTTTATACATAAAGATGAAAAATCACTATGAGGTGTTGCTGCTATCTTTCCCAGTGCTTAAGTTTAATGGTTTATTTTGTTTTGCTTGAAGCATCTGAAGTAGAGTTGCCTGTAACGATGATGAAACATTTGTCACTCGCCCGAGCTGGTTCATTGCAGCATGACCAACTGCCTTGCCAGTTTTTGTTGTACTATTTAATGAATTATCAGGAGTACTACTCCTGGATTCTGACACCTCCATTGGCTCTTCAACTCTTGTATTGTCCACAACTTTCTGTTTCTTTTCAGTCATTTTTCCAGCGTCATTATTTTTTACATTCAGTAATTGCTGTAACACAGCATGCTTAGTTTTAGTCTTTTCCTTTGACTTTTCGTTCCCTTTATTAGAATTAGCGGTATCCTTTTTGCTCTCATTGGTACTTCCATTTTTAACTACTTTTAAATCAAGTGGGCCTTTCTTAGGCATGTCATTTTCAATCATGCTATTATTAGTATCCATACTAGTTTTTGACTTGTCATTTTCAATCATATTATTTTTAGCAGGACTTGGTTCCAAGCTTTTATTTTGGGTATTCAGAAGATTAGCACTTATAGCATTGAGTAAAATATTGGAAAGATTCATGCCAGTCACATTTTGCAATGGTACACTCTGTGTTATATTATTTTGCACTGATACACTTGGCTGTGTACTGTTTGGTATGGATACACTTTGTGGTGAACTGTTTTGTACCAACACATTTTGTGGTACACTGTTTTGTTTGGATACACTTGGAGAAGCAGCATTCTGTACAATTGGACTTTGTAAATTAGCATTCTGCACTGCATTCCGCAGTAATGTATTCTGTAATGACTCACGTTGCAACAAAGCATTTTGAACTGGTAAATTCCCTACACTTGGTAAAGAGGTAGGAGAACTTGGAGCAATGCCAGCAGCCTGTTGTAATTTTTGCATAGTCAGTAGAGATAACATTGTACTTTGAAGTTTCTCCAATAATTCCCTGGGAATCAGAACCTGATTTTGCTGTTCTGGGACGGCTACTTCTAGTTTATTTTCCTGAATGCCATTTTCTACAGGTTTCATGTCTTCCTCTGTTTTTGTACTTTCTTCTATTTCCATTTTCTCTTGTTTGCTCTCTGTATCTTGTTTATTAGAGTCTTTTTCTTTTTTACCATCTGTACTTCTTGCTCGTTTTCTCATGACTGAGAAAGACTGTAATGAGTCATTAGAATCAGAGTTTGTTAACTGTTGGAAATCTACCAATGTTGGTTTACTATCTACACCTTGAATCAGATGTGATTTACTTGGAATGCGTGGAATAGGAACCTAAAAAGAATCAGCAACATTATTCATCACAATATAAGCCTATATGTTTTTTCATTTGATTAATACATGTATCAGAGCTACTAAAATGATAAAGAAAAAAGATACAGTTGCTATGACAATTTAAAGAAATACAGGGAAACTGAATAATGTAAATTCAGAACAATTTTTGCGATGTTTTTATTATTGCCAAAATTACTACAGAATAGGGATCCCAAAAATTAATAAAATGCTCCGCAGGGCGCAGCTTGATACGACCGCAGAGGTTGAACCCTGAACAGTTGGGGCAAGTATGGACACAACATTCAAGCTTGATACAGCTCTGAATTTGGATTGTGATTAAATATTTGACACAGCATAGGTTTCTGACACAGAATGAATGTGGTCTAAGAACTTAAAAATTTTAAATTGGACATTCACCTATTATGGTCCAATATCCAAAATCTAATTACATGGTTAGATTCAGCATATCAAAGAACCCCAAGAATTCAATTTTTGATGAAATCAAACAAAGTTTAATTTTGGACCCCGATTTGGACCAACTTGAAAACTGGGCCCATAATCAATAATCTAAATACATGTTTAGATTCAGCATATCAAAGAACCCTAAAAATTCAATTTTTGTTAAAATCAAACTAAGTTTAATTTTGGACCCTTTGGACCTTAATGTAGACCAATTTGAAAACGAAACCAAAAATTAAGAATCTAAATACACGGCTAGATTCGTCATATCAAAGAACCCCAATAATTCAATTTTTGACGAAATCAAACAAAGTTAAATTTTGGACCCTTTGGACCTCAATGTGGACCAATTTAAAAATGGGGCCCAAAATCAAAAAACTTAATACAGGGTTAGATTCAGCATATTAAAGAACCCCAAGTTTTCAAGAATAAAACCCCATTGAAATTGATCAAGAAATAAGCAATTTATACGAAGTATCTTCTTTTGCACAATACTGTGCAATTGAATATTTCTTGCTATTGCGCAATACTGTACAATTGACAATTTCTTGCTATTGCGCAATATTGTGCTATTGCGCAATACTGTGCAATTGAAGATTTCTTGCTATTGCGCAATACTGTGCAATTGAAGATTTCTTGCTATTGTGCAATACTGTGCAATTGAAAATTTCTTGCTATTGCACAATATTTATTATATAATAACTTACACATCCTGTTTGGTGTGTATCTCCTACCATATCATTATTATTTGCTTTTAAATATAAATCAGAAATAACCAACTTAAAATGGAAAATTTTAAAAGAAAAAAAAAAAGGAAAAAAAGAAAAAAAAAGAAAAAAAAAAATCCCCCCCCCAAATTTTTTGAACCCCCTTATGATTCATCACCCCCACACTCAATCCCAGCCTTCCCTTTGTGGTATGGTACCTTGCAGTACAATTTCAGAGACATCCATACACTTGAACACAAGTTATTGTCTGGAAACTAGAAAAATGCTTATTTTTGGCCCCTTTTTGGCCCCCCAATTCCTAAACATTTCGGGCAATCACCCCCAAACTCAATTCCAGCTTTCCCTTTGTGATATGGAACCTTGTAGTACAATTTCAGAAATATCCAAACACTTACACACAAGTTATTGTCATGAAACTAGAAAAATGCTTGTTTTTTGCCCCTTTTTTGGCCCCTAATTCCTAAAATTTTGAGGCAATTACCCCCAAAATCAATCCAAGCATTCCCTTTGTGATATGGAACCTTGTGGTACAATGTCAGAGAGATCCATTCTCTTACACACAAGTTATTGTCTGGAAGTTACAAAAATGCTTATTTTTGGCCCCTTTTTGCTTAACTTTGGTACCATAACCCCCAAAATCAATCCCAACCTTCCTTTCGTGGTATAGAACCTTATGGTAAAATTTCATGGAGATCCATTCACTTAAACTAAAGTTAGAGTGCGAAAACCAAAGTGTCTTCGGACGACACCGGACGACGCCAGACGACGACGACGACAATGCCTACGTCATACCAATATACGACCAAAAAATTTTTAATTTTTGCGGTCGTATAAAAACTTGCATTCTTCATTCTGAAAGCATTATTTTATGAAGCATTTACTGAATTCCATATTTCTGAAGCATTATTTTATGAAGCATTTACTGAATTCCATATAACTAATACCATATTTTTGTCCATTCTTAAAACATTTGAATAAAAAAAATTCACACAAAAATTTCTAAATTTCCAGTATCACTTTAAGCACTGATTGTCTTCTTTGTATATTAGCTGACATGTCACTAAGACACCAAAATCAATGAATCTACCATCATAGATTAAACACATCTTGATTTAAATGTATATGTAGATTATTATACATATTTTTCCACATCAGTTCTGATATCATTCCCAGACTTCTATATGACTCAACCTAGCCAAGAGAGTCTGATATGGGTTGAAAGATGGTATCAGGAATGATTCAGAAAATAGTAAAAATTTAGTTTATCATGCATTTATGACTTATAATGGTTTGCTACATCAGCCATGATTAAATTCATATAATGAACTTAAATATTTATGTCCAGTTGATTTAGCCCAGTAACTTTTACCGTATATAATTTTTCCTATAAATGTAAGATCAGCTATGTTCATGTAAATGGAGTCAAGGGAATGAAAAGTCAAAGAAAAAGACTAAAACTAAGCATGCTGTGCTACAGCGCTCATAAACATGTTTAACCCGCCACATTCTCTATGTGCCTGTCCCAAGTCAGGAGCCTGTAGTTCAGTGGTTGTTGTTGGTTCACGTTTGTCATATTTGTTTTTTTAAATTGTTTTGTTATAAATTAGGCCATTAGTTTTCTCAATTAAACAGTTTCATATTTTTCATGTGGGGGCCTTTTTGAACGTTTGAACTTTGGTGGATAGTTGTCTCATTGGACATCATACCACATCTCCTTATTTTTTTATCAAAAAGCGTGATTGCCTTACAAAACTGTACAAATATCTTCAATGATAAAAGACAATATAACATATCAGTGAAAATTGTATACCTTTTTGACAGGTGTTCCTTTTTCTCTTTCCTTCATCTCCAGATAAGCTTTGGAATCCATACATCTCAGAAGCATGGAAGCTATTTCATGGAAGCCTCTGGCTTGGGCAGCCATTACAGCAGTAACACTAGCATAGTTAGGGAGATCTAAATTTGCTCCCACTTTCTGAAACAACTCAACCATAGGTATGAGGTTACCTTCAACTGAATAAAACAATGGAGTTCTTCCACTTTTACCATCCTGAAATATTTTAATCAATTGGTTAGAGGCAGCACGCTTATTTTTTTTCTTGATGGTATATTGTATGACATGAAATGCTCTTCAATTTCATACTTGATTTGGCCTTTCTATTTTTTTGATACCAGCATCACTGATGAGCCTGCTGTAGATGAAACACTCATCTTGCATACAAATTAGAAGCCTGGTCTCTTTGGTCGGTTTTTTGATTATAGGAGTAATCTCCAGTCTGGCTGTTTTGTACTATTTGCAATGTAAGATGATCTAGTTAAAAGGTAATTTTTTTCTTTTTTCTAATACCAACTTCCCTCATTACTACATTGTAGCTATATATAGTCAATAGACTTTTCTTTTTACTCACTAATAACCCCCAAAGTATTTGTACATCTTAGTTTTCTGTAAATAGGATTTAAACCTGCACTGCCAATAAATTTGACCTTTTTTTTAACTCTCCAAACTTCTGACTCTTGGCATTCCTGATAATTTAATCAAGAAAAGTGCTCAAAGTGTAGCAGATCTGATATGTTTAGTTTCGATGTATATAGGTTTATACATATTTAAACTTATTACCTGAATGTTGACATCAGCTCTCTCAGCCAGCAGAAATCTGACAATTTCCATGTTACTTCTCATTACAGCTATGTGAATAGGTGCCAGACCTGTAAATATTATAATAGGTGATATATTAATAACCAAGAGGATTTTTTTCATTTCAAACTGGAATAAAATGCTCCGCAGGGCGCAGCTTGATACGACCGCAGAGGTCGAACCCTGAACAGGTTGGGCAAGTATGGACACAACATTCAAGCTTGATACAGCTCTGAATTTGGATTGTGATTAAATATTTGACACAGCATAGGTTTCTGACACAGAATGAATGTGGTCTAAGAAATTAAAAATTTTAAATTGGACATTCACCTATTATGGTCCAATATCCAAAATCTAAATACATGGTTAGATTCAGCATATCAAAGAACCCCAAGAATTCAATTTTTGATGAAATCAAACAAAGTTTAATTTTGGACCCTTTTGACCTCAATGTGGACAAAGTTGATAACGGGGCCCAAAAATCAAAAATCTAAATACATGGTTAGATTCAGCATATCAAAGAACCCCATATATTCAATTTTTGTTGAAATCAAACAAAGTTTAATTTTGGACCTCGATTTGGACCAACTTGAAAACTGGGCCCATAATCAAAAATCTAAATACATGTTTAGATTCAGCATATCAAAGACCCCTAAGAATTCAATTTTTGTTAAAATCAAACTAAGTTTAATTTTGGACCCTTTGGACCTTAATGTAGACCAATTTGAAAAAGGAACCAAAAATTAAGAATCTAAATACACGGTTAGATTCGGCATATCAAAGAACCCCAATAATTCAATTTTTGATGAAATCAAACAAAGTTTAATTTTGGACCCTTTGGACCTCAATGTGGACCAATTTAAAAACGGGACCCAAAATCCAAAAACTAAATACACGGTTAGATTCAGCATATTAAAGAACCCCAAGAATTCAAGAATAAAACCCCATGGAAATTGGTCAAGAAATAAGCAATTTATACGAAGTATCTTCTTTTGCACAATACTGTGCAATTAAATATTTCTTGCTATTGCGCAATACTGTACAATTGACAATTTCTTGCTATTGCGCAATATTGTGCTATTGGATATTTCTTGCTATTGCGCAATACTGTGCAATTGAAGATTTCTTGCTATTGCGCAATACTGTGCAATTGAAGATTTCTTGCTATTGTGCAATACTGTGCAATTGAAAATTTCTTGCTATTGCACAATACTTATTATATAATAATTTACACATCCTGTTTGGTATGTATCTCCTACCATATCATTATTATTTGCTTTTAAATATAAATCAGAAATAACCAACTTAAAATGGAAAATTTTAAAAGAAAAAAAAAAAGGAAAAAAAAAAATCCCCACCCCCAAATTTTTGAACCCCCTTATGATTCATCACCCCCAAACTCAATCCCAGCCTTCCCTTTGCGGTATGGTACCTTGCAGTACAATTTCAGAGATCCATAACACAAGTTATTGTCTGGAAAATAGAATAAACTACTTCGCTGAGCGCAGCTAGATACGCCCGCAGAGGTCCAACCCTGAACAGTTGGGGCAAAAATGGACACAATATTCAAGCTTGATACAGGTCTGAATTTGGATTGTAATTAAATATTTGACATATCATAGGTTTCTGAATAAATGTAACCTTGAAATTGGTTATATGAATTGAATTTATATTCAACTAAAGATTTCTTGCTGTTGTGCAATACACTATGCTGTTGTGCAATACTTAGTAAATCTGTTGTCATACTATAAACAAATAAAATTTATAAAATTCTAAAGGGAGCTTACATCAATAGATATAATCAATTCACCAAAGTTTCTTAAGAATTGCTGAAAGCATTTTTGAGTTATTGTCTGAAAACTGGAAAATCCCTCCTTTTTTAATGAATAAAACCCCATAACTCGGAAATGTTAAATCTAAAATTTATAAAATTCTAAAGGGAGCTTACATCAATAGATATCAACAATTCATCAAAGTTTCATGAGAACTGCTGAAAGCATTTTTGAGTTATTGTCCGAAAACTGGAAAATCCCCCTTTTTTTTTATGAATAAAACCCCGTAACTTGGAAACGTAAAATTTAAAATTTATAAAAATCAAAAGGGAGCTCATGTCAATAGATATAAACAATTAACCAAAATTTCTTACAAGTTGGTGAAAGCAATCTTGAGTTATTGTCCGAAAACTGGAAAATCCCCCTTTTTTTAATGAATAAAACCCCATAACTCCCAAACGTAAAATCTAAAATTTACAAAAAACGAAAGGGAGCTCATGTCAATAGATATAAACAATTCACCAAAGTTTTATGCAAATTGGTTACAGCGTTTTTGAGTTAATGTCCGACATGTTGACGACGGACGGACAGACAACGGTATACCATAATACGTCCCGTAAACGGGCGTATAAAAATGTGTTTTTTGCCCCTAATTCCTAAAATATTGAGGCAATTACCCCCATCATCAATCCCAGCCTTCCCTTTGTGGTATGGTACCTTGCAGTACAATTTCAGAGAGATCCATACACTTGAACACAAGTTATTGTCTGGAAACTAGAAAAATGCTTATTTTTGGCCCCTTTTTGGCCCTCAATTCCTAAACGTTTCGGCAATTACCCCCAAACTCAATTCCAGCTTTCCCTTTGTGATATGGAACCTTGTAGTACAATTTCAGAAAGATCCATACACTTACACACAAGTTATTGTCATGAAACTAGAAAAATGCTTGTTTTTTGCCCCTTTTTTGGCCCCTAATTCCTAAAATTTTGAGGCAATTACCCCCAAAATCAATCCCAGCATTCCTTTTGTGATATGGAACCTTGTGGTACAATGTCAGAGAGATCCATACACTAACACACAAGTTATGTCTGGAAATTACAAAAATGCTTATTTTTGGCCCCTTTTTGGCCCCTAATTCCTTTACTGTTGGTACCATAACCCCCAAAATCAGTCCCAACCTTCCTTTTGTGGTATTGAACCTTGTGGTAAAATTTCATAGAGATCCATTCACTTAAACTAAAGTTAGAGTGCGAAAACCAATGTGTCTTCGGACGACACCGGACGACAACGACAACGTCGACGCCATTGTCATACCAATATACGACCACAAAAATTTTTTTGCGGTCGTATAAAAAAAAGTGTAGAATGGTATATGAATCAACAGAAGAGCAATACATATAGAATAATGGCATTTTTGTTTTGATACTATCATATTGAGTTTATCAACAAGAATTATAATATTAACTTAAGCAAGCTAATATTCAAGCTGATAAAGTCAGCATTCAAAAATAAAATGTAATTATTCTTTTCATTAGCAATTTTTCTTTTAAACAATATTTTTTTAAGGTAGAATAAGAAATTACACAAAGCAGATGAAAAAACTCTTTTACGCATACAAAACATTGTGATAGCTGTTTAGTTTTGTGAATGATGTTGCATGCATTTCATTGATAAATTGATGAGAAGAGACTTGGAAAATGAGACTTTTCTGCAATGAACATTACATCTTTGACAATATTTGGAGGATCATGTCCAGTCTGCAATCCCAAATATATGAAGTTCTAGGATCAAAGACAAAACGTACAAATTGCTAATAAAATAACACTGCAGACAAAAAATAAATTGATCAAGATGTATCTAACAAGAAATGCAACAGATGTAAAATTTCACTGACATATTTGCAGTTGTTCAATGTTACAGAACCTGTATCTACAATAAGACAACTCATGTGATAAATAATATCAGTTCAACAAAAATTGTATTTAATTTCAAATATATATGCAGTTACAGAAAACACCACTGTCAAAGTGAAAATTTTAGTGATGGGGTTAGTTTTGCTTATTTTGCAATCACATTAAATGTGCTTAAAATATTCCCAGAGCGATAGCTTGTAGAAAGCAACAAAATTAACAGGGTGAAAAATTTTATACATTGAAATCATAAAAATAACAACCTATGAAAATATCAATGTTTACAGTATTACTGAACCTGTGAATATTGTTTTCTGCTTCTGAATGGAGATAACTCCATTTTTGATCAAATCAATTATAGAAAAGATCTCCTAATATCGTAAATTCAATGAGAAAAATGTTCATTTTTGCAATCGCATTTTTGCAAGTGGTCAAGAATTCACTATAATGAATTCCTTTATTAATTTCTAAATTTACCGTATTAATATTCTTTATCAAAAATCAAAAAGAAATTAACAGATAAACATACCATCAAAGTTTCTTGCATTGAGGTCTGGTTTCATAGTATATTTGAAGATAAGATGAAGACAGTCAACAGAGTTTGACTTGACAGCTATATGGATGCAGGTTTCTCCATTCTTATTAACCAGATTAGGATTAGCACCAGCTAGTAACAATGTATGTACTGCCTGTATAAATTTCAGCTCTACTGCTATGTGCAATGGTGTCTGTAAAAAAGTTATTGCTGTAAAATTGACTTTTTTCCCTATACATTTTTTGAAGGATGGTAAAAAATACTTTAATCTTGAGTGGTATCTTACTTTTAAATCATAGCTACACTAAATTTTATGTAGAATTATAAGAAAACCTGTTCTTTAAATGACAGTGGGTAAAATTCAATGAATGGTAAGCCCACCATCATAAATATGCTTTTGGAAAAAAAACGATTAGACTTTTCAGTTAGAAAATTAAAATAATCATAAAAATTGTAATAGAAAAAGTTGTCGATAAAGGCATTTGAAGTTTTACTAGATTAAAATAATCATAAAAATTGTTACAGAGAAATTTGTCGACAAAGGCATTTGAAGTTTTACTAACTACTGGGGAAAAAATTCTGAAAGCACAGGTCACACATTTATGTATATTATTACTATCTACTGGGGAGAAAGTTCTATAAGCACAGGTCGCACATTTATGTATATTATACTACAATGTACCTACTGGGGAGAAAGTTCTATAAGCAGAGGTCACAAATATATTTACATGTTCACTCTCTGCTGTCAATAATTGACCATTTAAATGAAAAAAGTTTCATAGGTTATACATTCAATTTTTGTAAATTGCTGTTTTTTTGCTTTTAAATTACATTTTCAATGTTTATACCAATAAATGATAATCGAATGGTATCTCAACATTTAGTTTACACTATAATGACTAAATAAATATTTTCATTCCTTAAAACTTTTGAAAAATGAAAACGGGATCAGGTGTGCAGATTCTAAGGGAGGATTTAGTGTATCCCTATCCCCAAACACAAAATCATAACCAACACTTTTTTTTAAGTTGTCAAAGTGTTAAGGAAATAAACAAAACTTCAAATCTGCTATGGTCAATTTGGTAAACATCTCTGAGACTCTCTAGACAAAAAAAAACGGAATATGTCCCAGAGTCAGGTATAAACCTCTCTGTTTCTTATTTAGAGTGCTTAAATTAGTGTGAGATGTAAATTTAAAAACAATTGTTCTTTTCTGAGTTGAAAGTTGTTAATTTTCTTCTTCAGTTATTATGGTGAGTAAAATTTGTCCTTTTTATCTTTGGAAGTATAAAATATATACATGTGCATGTATGAGACAGGTTATCTTTTTGAGTGGAGAAAAGACGTTTCATGTCAAAAAGTTAGGGCATAAAAATCCCCAGACACAGTACATGTCAAAATAAAATGCTCCATTGGGCACAGCTTGACAGACTGCAGAGGTCGAACCCTGAACAGTTGGGGCAAGAATGGACACTACATTCAAGCTTGATACAGCTCTGAATTTGGATTGTGATTAAATATTTGACACAGAATGAATGTGGTCAAAGAACTGAAAAATTTTGATTTGAACTTTAACCTATTATGGTCCAATATCCAAAATATAAAATTGAGAATGGAAATGGGGAGTATGTCAAAGAGACAACAACCCGACCAAAGAGCAGACAACAGATGAAGGCCACCAATGGGTCTTCAACGCAGCGAGAAAATCAATCAGGAGGTGGTCCTCAGCTGGCCCCTAAATAAAATTGTGTACCGGTACTAGTTCAGTGAAAATGGACGTCATACTAAACTCCAAAACATATAAATGAACTAAAATTAAAAAACATACAAGACTAACAAAGGCCAGAGGCTCCTGACTTGGGACAGGCGCAAAAATGCTGCTGGGTTAAACATGTTTTGTGAGATCTCAACCCTCCCCCTATAAATACATGGTTAGATTCATCATATCCAAGTACACCAAGAATTTGATTAATCTATCTATTAATGGGCAATATTAGCTAAGTTTTAAATGGGGTTCTCTACATCAAAAAAAATAAATATATATAGCATATTGAAAATTAATTTATACAGAATAACAAAAAAATCTACCACGAAGTTCTTCAAAAAATTTACCAAAAAAATGAAGAAACAATTTCCAATATATCATTTATCATTACTTTAATACATGAAAAATCTATATACCTTTTTTCAAAATATCTAATAATGAACTTTCAAAACATGAAAATCATAGTTTTTTTGTCCCTTCTTGGCCCTTAATTCCTAAACGGATTGGGCCATAACTCCACAATTAATCCCAACCTTCCTTTTGAGATATATGGAACCTTGTGGTACTATTTTATATTGATCTATACTCTTATACTCAAGTTATTGTCCCGAAACAAAAAAAATGCTTGTTTTTGGCCCCTAATTCCTAAACAGTTTAGGCAATAACCCCCAAAATCAATCCCAACCTTCCTTTGGTGGTAAGGAACCTTGTGGAACAATTTCATGGAGATCCATACTCTTATACTCAAGTTGGAAACCAAATGATTTTGGACAAAGACACTGACAATGTCATTACATTTTACGATCCTATAAAAAGATTGGTGTGGCCTTAGATGCATTGTACATACAGAAATGTGAAACAAATTAAGAAATAACATTAACCTGCTGTGCTTTGTTGAATTTGTCAACACTTTTACCAGATATACTCATCAAATGTACAAACTTTTGGACCATAACAATATTCTCATGAACAACAGCTATATGTAGTGGTCTGAAAGTATAATAAAATACATTTATACATACAATAGACCATGAAAATGTTTTCTTGTGTACTATAGTGATGTGTATAAAAGTTCAGATTGTATAAAAACACAAATGTATAATTAAGCGAACTTATATATTATATGGACTATCCCAAGTCAGGAACCTGTAATTCAGTGGTTGTCGTTTGTTGCTTTGTTACATATTTGTTTTTTGTTCATTATTTTGTATATAAATTAGGCCGTTAGTTTTCTCGTTTGAATTGTTTTACATTTGTCATTTCAGGGCCTTTTATAGCTGACTATGCGGTATGGGCTTTGCTCATTGTTGAAGGCCATATGGTGACCTATAATTGTTAATTTTTGTGTCATTTGGTCTCTTGTGGAGAGTTGTCTCATTGGCAATCCTACCACATCTTCTTTTTATAATAACAAATTCTAATGTGCCATGGTTTTGTGCAATGGTTTTGTGCAATAATGTTCTTGGAATTAATGAACAAAGTCAATGTACATGATAATTTTTTCTTATTGACAATTAATAAATCTATGTAAAGGTTTTCATACATGAGTTTCAATTCATGTACAAGCAATGCTAATTCTGAAAAATCAATATTGTTTATCCTTTCAAATATATTTCTGTTATTGATGACTGTTACTCTAATTCTGTTTAACCAGTATATGGCTGATCATTATGTTTCCATTTTTTACTGGAATATCAGGCATTTTTTTCATGAAGTTACAAAAAAAAAAACAGATGAGATTTTTCTTGTTTATATGATCAGTAATAAAACAATTTGCCTAGTGGTAAAGAGGTTCTGTTAAGTACAATGTATCCAGAAACTTTTTCATTTTGTTCGAGTGAAAGATAAATTCACAATCTTGTTGGTAAGATACATACTAAAAATTCAGAAATTTTTTAGTGCATTTTTTAGTGCTATTGTTGAACAACGCATGAAAATGTAAGCTTAATTATTGTGACTTAAAGAAATGCTGCAAACATACAATGCAGTAAAAAAATAATAATGAGAGTTTTATTTTTTTTCAAAACCTATTCTGTTGCAAATCTCACAATAATAAAAAACATAACACAAATTTCTAAATTTACAGTACATAAATTTCGTGTGTTACTTACAAATCACCGTCATCATCTTGCTGTAGGGCTACCTGCATCTCATTCAGTAACATCAGACTAGTAGAAGGATCTACTGCTACTGGGTTCACTCTCTCTTTTGATTCATACGCATTTTGTACAGCTGAGGCTGAAAGTGTCAAATATACTTGTAACTTGATAATAATCAATACACAAATAAATGCATGTTATAACATATATACCCGGCACACCAAATTAGGTTTTCTGAATTGAAATTTAATAAGAATTTGACTCAATAATGAGAAATTATCTATCTTTAGGCAATAGAATAAAATCTTTATAGTAAAATTATGGAAATTAAAATAGCCCTATTAACCTTCAACATCATATACTTATAGTATACCTATGTTTTAACATTGAAATACCCCCAAAGGCAATCATTTACAAGAAAATTTTGGGAGATAAAGATTTTAATTTCAATTCTGGTTATTTATTGGCCTCAGATTTTATAACTAGTTGTAAAACTACAAGGATACAGTTTTTTAGATAAATCTTTATTTCTTCTGTTTCAAAAACTGTCAACTTAAAACTTGAAACTGTGAACATGATTCAGTAAAAGTTGTGTAATTAAGTTTCTGTTCAATTATGTAATACAAGAGAAGTATTTGAAAGTATATTTCAGTGTGTTTAGACTATGTTGCTCACCCAACTACATCCTGGTTGGTGAGGTCGATTTCTCAGTAAAGAATTGGAGCAATATCAACGCACATATTAACTAAATGTTATGCAATTACTTAAATAAGCATAAGATACTAATTAAATACTTTCATAATTCTTATCAACAGCTTAAATTTGATATCTTTCCTTTTTTCATAATTCATTAATAGTAATGTCTCATACATTTTGATTCTATGGAACTATTCCTTTCTATTATATTGTTTTTATTTAAAATTAGTAGCTGTTTGATCTCATTTTTTAATTTAAGGACACATTTCTTTTCAAAGGTGGCTAATAGATGGTTAAAATTGTGCTCTATACCTTTGAATAATTGTAAGTTATTCACATGTCATAAAACACAATACATGTATATACAAATGTAGTTGCATGATGTGCCTTCAATTCAAAATTTTGCATCATATTAAAATACAATGTGATAAGATAGACCCTGCTTGGCCATGTTGGCTAAATCAAAAACAAATTCAAACCCTTAACAGATTACAAAACTGCATTTTAAACTTTTATTTTGTCTTACTGGTAAAAGCTGGTTCAGTCAGGTAAAATTTCCATGTTCAACAGATCAAAAAACTTGAAAAAAAATAATTGTTTCTGAACACGGGTAAAACTTTGCATTACATTGCTAAAATGTAAATAGAGGGTAATAGCCCTACTTTTCTTGTGAAAAAATGTTTACTATCACAATTCTAGGCCTCTCCAACCCTTTAAGAATGGCTGAAGACCTTTTTTTAATTAGGGTTGAATTTAAATAAATACTGTTTCTTTGAAAGGAATATTTGTTTATCCCCTTTCTCTGCAAAAACAACAAAATGTGGTATATAAAAGATAGATGTTAAAGCCACTAACAAAGTTATACTAACTAGACATAATTGAGATGGGAGCCATCTCTGTGGGCCCAGCTGACCTTGAACTTTGACCTAGGAAGTTGTACAAACATTATGACACACCCTCTGGTGTTGGTTAATATACATGTCAAGTATACAGTATGAAATTATAACAGTTCTCTAGATATATTGCCAAACACAATTTGTTACGGACGGACAGACTGATCACTATAGGGCGACCCCCCCCACTAAGAAGGGCCCTAATGAAAAAAAAAGATGTACCAACTAATTCTATTCAAATAAGTTGATCATGAAAATACAAAAAGTAAAAAACACATGTACATGGTTACATTTTGTACCTGCAATTACAAAACTTTTTTTTAGTAAATTAAAATAAAATTTGATTTTCATTTTAAAAATTTTGTAAAAAAACGAAGAAATTGCTGGTAATCATAACAAATTTTGCAGTAATAGCTAATAAAATGCTCCGCTGGGCATTTTTGATACGACCGCAGAGGTCGAACCCTGAAAAGTTGGGGCAAGTATGGACACAACATTCAAGCTTGATACAGCACTGAATTTGGATTGTGATTAAATATTTGACACAACATAGGTTTCTGACACAGAATGAATGTGGTCTAAGAACTTAAAAAATTTTAATTTACCTTTTCAAACCATATCATTATTATTTGCTTTTATATATAAATCAGAAATAACCAATTTAAAACGGAAAATTTTAAAGAAAAAAAAGAAAAAAAAATCCCTCCCCAAAATTTTTTGAACCCCCTTATGATTCATCACCCCCAAACTCAATCCCAGCCTTGGAACCTTTGTGGTATGGTACCTTGCAGTACAATTTCAGAGAGATCCATACACTTGAACACAAGTTATTGTCTGGAAAATAGAAAAATGCTTGTTTTTAGGCCCCTTTTTGGCCCCAAATTCCTAAACGTTTATGGCAATTACCCCCAAACTCAAACCCAGCTTTCCCTTTGTGATATGGAACCTTGTAGTACAGTTTCATAAAGATCCATACACTTACACACAAGTTATTGTCATGAAACTAGAAAAATGCTTGTTTTTTTCCCCTTTTTGGCCCCTTATTCCTAAAATTTTGAGGCAATTACCCCCAAAATCAACCCCAACCTTCCCTTTGTGGTATGGTACCTTGCAGTACAATTTCAGAGAGATCCATTCACTTGAACACAAGTTATTGTATGGAAACTAGAAAAATGCTTATTTTTGGCCCCTTTTTCCTAAACGTTTTGGGCAATTACCCCAAAACTCAATTCCAGCTTTCCCTTTGTGATATGGAACCTTGTAGTACAATTTCAGAAAGATCCATACACTTACACACAAGTTATTATCATGAAACTAGAAAAATGCTTGTTTTTTGCCCCTTATTCCTAAAATTTTGAGGCAATTACCCCCAAAATCAATCCCAGCATTCCCTTTGTGATATGGAACCTTGTGGTACAATGTCAGAGAGATCCATACACTAACACACAAGTTATGTCTGGAAGTTACAAAAATGCTTATTTTTGGCCCCTAATTCCTTAACTGTTGGTACCATAACCCCCAAAATCAATCCCAACCTTCCTTTTATGGTATTGAACCGTATGGTAAAATTTCATAGAGATCCATTCACTTAAACTAAAGTAATTGTGTGAAAACCAATGCGTCATCGGACGTTGACGACGACGCCAACGTCATACCAATATACGACCGCAAAATTTTTTTGCGGTCATATAAAAATCCATTTATGTTCATTATTTTTAAATAGTTTTGTTTCATCAAAAGGACATAAGCTGTCAAATTTGTGTTCACATTTTATAACATACTAAATTGTATATCCAAATCACAGAAAGTCTGAAATGAACAATTTACAATGCATGGACTCGATAATGTGCATCAGCCTTTTGTGTGTGCTTTAGTCTAAATGCCATCTTATGAACCATCAAGATGACCTTCTGCAAAGACCCGATATAAACATAAATATAAATATAGATAGTTAGCACATGCAATTGGATTTTTCTAGGTCTGTTTGATTTGACGTTAATATAGATTAAAAAATATGTTTATCATCGTTTTTACTCATATAAGAATGATTTTTGGTGGATCAAATCAGCTGAAATGGTTCACCCTTTGTTTTACTTTCAATGTTGACATTCTTTTCCTTTTTTTAGCTGAACACACTTATTACATGTGTAACCCATCTCCAGGTAAGGGGATAAATTGAACGTCACATGAATACAGATTCAACGAGGTTCAATTATTGACTTCATCCACTTGCAAGTCAATAATACATCAGTGATGTATTTGAGCTTATTTTGATAAATTAGGGCCAACTAACTACTTACAACTAAATATTATTTCAAAATTCTGCTTTAATTATAATCACTGATACTTTCAGAAACAAAAAAGAATCGTATTTTAATTTTTTGTCTAAATCTCAGCTAATGCCCTTTTCAAAAATGTTTTTTTTTGTACCTAAATTTTTTATATCTATATTACTTTTAAGTGTATGATGTTTTAAACAGTAGTATATTTTAAATGCTTCATTTGAATGTGTTGCAGTGTTATGAAATGTTTTGTTTCTGTAGCAATTCTTAAAACAATGAGGATATACAGAACAAAAAAGAATTACCTTCGGACTTAGCAGGATCTTGTTCTACTGATATATCATCTCCAGGAGGTTGTGCACCTTCTTCTTTATAGCCTTGTAACCTTCGTTTCTTTAAGGGCAGAGATGATTCTGATGATTCTTTAGGAGTAACTGCTGTTTTTTGTTTCAATGCCATCTGAGTTAATATTGTATCTACTGCTGACTGAGAAAGTTCGACACTTTCAGTACTAGCAAGATTAACAAGTTTAGATGCAATCTCTTTAGCAACTATGTTTTGTCCATCCACACCATCAGATTTCACTTGGAATGGCAATTTCCCAGCTAATATTTTGTTCAGGTCATTACTAGACAAGTTGTAAAGTCCATGACCTGGTTTGTTGTGATCCACTTGTATTATACATGGCTGTGCAACTAATGGCTCAATTTGTATATATGGTGGTGTCAACCCTGGTTGCTGTGCAACTTGTTCTTCAGCATTCTTTGGATCTTTATTGTGTGTTTTGGGGGTTTCAACCTTTTTCAGTTCATGGTTTGGGTTTCTTGGGTTAATTGTCAATGATAAAACCTGGTCTGGCAATTTGTTTTGTTTACTACTTGAAACAGCTAAAGTTGAAGCATATTTTGGTGATTTGTGTTTTTGTTTAATTGTTGATGCTGCGTTTTTGTCTTTTTCAGTCTGGGCCTTTTTACTTGTTGGTGTCTGGGAATTTTTAGTCGCCCTGGTTCTGGTTTTTCCCTTTTTGTTGGCGTTACTTGTTGCTGACTTGGCATTGTTTTTTGTATCAACAGGTGCACTTTTCGCTACAGTTACGTTGGAACCAATACTTAATGAAAATAATTCGTCAGAATTTGATGGCAAAAGAACCATAGATGATAAACATGACATTGCCTCCGCGGCGGCAATACGATCTGCGTGTTCTTTTTCATCGATCTTTGTCGCCTCATTTTGTTTTTTAGATTTACGTCTGGTGGCCATTTTGTGTAAATATTCAATATTAAAACTTAATGCGCGAGTGTAAATACTTATTCATTTTGTCCATATACAAATATCTTGAAACATCTGAAAATGAAACAAGTCTGGTTTTCCAGAAAATCTATCAGGCCTGGCTAGAATACATAATCTTCTTGACCTCCATGGAAAAATAAAGCATCTTGGGAAAATCCCTACAGCATGTGATCATTTAAACCAATCGAAATCTCTAGATTTTATAATTCGGGGATTTCCCTTATAGCAGATCGGACCGAGTCGTGGTACATATCTATAAATAGACTTCGCCATGTTATTCATCATACAGTTCAAACTGATTAACTGAATATATTTTTTTCCTTTTCAGATTTTTGTTTATAGTTCATCATTGCAATTAAAGGGAATAAAAACATTTCATATCTTAATTCTTTCAGTTTTATCATGTGATTATGTTGTTTGATAAAACAGGAGTTGTTCTATAAATAGGATAGGTGGTTATTTTGCTATAGTCATTTTCTTATTTCTTTTTATAGTTTTTATCTGAAAAATGCTAGCATTTAACCTGTTCTGTCCCTTACCACCTTCGCATTCAAAGTTTTCGTATTATACTAAAATCAAATGTGATATTGTTTTTTTGATAATACATGAAAAAAAAAGACATTTGTGTAAATACAAATAGCTGACCATTTATAACACAATTTAACAAAAACAAGTTATTTTCAGATAAAATGAGTTGAGAAATATACTAATCAAACTTGAAATCACCATAGATACCAGGAAAAAAAATTGTACGCCAGACGCGCGTTTGGACTACAGAAGACTCACCATTGACGCTCTAATCGAGTAAGTGAAAAAGGCCAAATAAAGTAAGAAGTTGAATGGCATTGCATGAGGCCCAAACATTCGGAAAGGTGTTGCGAAATACATCTTAGGTAATGATCTATTACTGGGGTAGAAAATCCTTAGTATTTCGAAAAAAAAAAATTTTGCAAACAGTTAATCATGTGACAATGATGAAACTACTATTGATATAAAATAAGTCTCAGTGCTTACTATATTTTTTTTATATAAAATAAGTCTCAGTGCTTGCTATAATATAATTGATATAAAATAAGTCTCAGTGCTTACTATAATATAATTGATATAAAATAAGCCTCAGTGCTTACTATAATATAATTGATATAAAATAAGTCTCAGTGCTTACTATAATATAATTGATATAAAATGAGCCTCAGTGCTTACTATAATATAATTGATATAAAATAAGCCTCAGTGCTTACTATAATATAATTGATATAAAATAAGTCTCAGTGCTTACTATAATATAATTGATATAAAATAAGCCTCAGTGCTTACTATAATATAATTCAGTATAATTTTATTTTTAAATGTATTTGATCGAACCAATACAAAATGTTGCTAGGTAATAGATATAAATGACATGAATTTCTTTACATAATCAAGCCACATCTGATTAACTTTAGGTTAGGACCATATCATCGGGTTGCTTACCCTTAAAGGACATGTGAGGTCCTCCAGGTCGGCTTAAATCCGAGTTCCTATATTTATCAACCCTTAGTTTTCTGTGTGATGTTTTGTTCAAGACTGTTGTTTGCTGGTTTCTATTCTGTAAATACATTATTGCCATGGTGTTGATAGTTGATATTTTACATTTCAAAGACCGCATTTGTTGTAAGAGTTATTTTCGTTTTGATATTTCATGGTAACTCCAACCGCAATACGTGTTCGAAGGACTTCTTTATAATGTACACATTAAAGGTGTTCTGTACCAAGACTATGCATCATGGAATAATGACGGGCAAAACTAACAATTTTTTATAACTATAATATATTTACATGTATCATGTTTAATATCGACCCTGTCTACATTCACTTGTGTTTTTATTATCAAAATTTCTTTCGCTGGTAAGTTTTGCATTAACGTTTGGTTGATTAACACTGTTTTATAAATTCTAACAGAGCAGACATTGATTATTAGATTAGAAACAATGTTTTTTAAAAAATATTTACCTAGCAATCGACAAGAGTGCGATTAATTTAAGATGCACTGCTTTTAAGATGCCCGTATATCACACCCCATTACAGGCTATCAAAAAACGGATACAATAGGATCTGTGCTGCCGATTGCCATTCAAAACAATTGTTTGTGATATCGTGTGCAGCAGATTGTTCATGCCTGTACACCTGTTGCATCTGCAGAACCTACAACCAGTCATGTGTATTATCAATTTATGCAGGGGTTCAACAAGTCGGACGGTTTATTACTTTACTTGATAATGCTGCTTTCACTGCATTTGATATTTATATTTGTGGATGTTTCGTTACTTTGTCGTTTGTTATGATTTTGTTTATACGAGTATATAACAAGATTTCGCATATCGCTCACCATTCACTTATAGCGAGAATATATGATAATACTCCTCGACACAATAGAGTATGTCAAATATGTTGTAGCAATGAGGATGAAGATGAAACACGTTTTCTTTTTAACTGTGATAGTCTATCTGACCAATGAAAGGATATGATAACAATGATAAATAATTGCTGCAAGAATTTTCAAAATCTAGACCCTACCAAAAAAACTGATATGGTTAATGAATAATAAAGATGAAATTATCAGAATTGCATGTACATTTTCATTAGAAATATGAAAAAAGTTTTGGTGGAATTAATCTCCCACTTCTTATCATTTGAACTTAGAGCACCGTCCTGTGCTTCAGTCATGAGGAGAACCACTATTTGGGATACTCTCATTGTAATATTTGTAGCTGGTTCTGAATGACCGCCCCTTGATGACCTCTACATTGTGGTGATGTAAAGTTCCTCACTGCTGTTCATTGGTCATGAGGAGAACTACTACAAAGCGAGAAACTATATTTCTTGTTCTATTTTTCCTGTTAATAAATTTTATGTTTATTTTTTATAAAATCGACCTCATTACACTAAACTCTTTATACTGTAATTTCTTTGTATTTTTACTAAAAACTTGCATGTTTTATGATAATTATTGTATAAGATGTTTATGTATCTTGCCTGACAAGGGCCCATGATTGATAAAATAAAAATAATGTCTAATGTCTATGTCGAGAACGTTTAGGCTGGTTTTGCGCCGTTTTTTTTTTACTTTACGTTTTCGATCGTTTTAACGGTTATTTTCAGGGCTCTTTCGATCAGCTGTGGAGCTTGCTCACCTTATCGATGCAAACTTTAACAATGAGTGAGCTCTAGATTACATCAGGAACCCTGGAGCTATGCCGAACCATTTGTACAACACATCAGACAAAGGATACTTGGACGTCTGCGGACACACACTCACCAAATTACAACAGGTTTCAGAGTACAGACACGGACCAGACGCATACCAAGCCGGCGGATTCACCTCTATATGCACCACCAAACACTTGAGCGATTGAACAATATGTTGCTGTGTCCATGTATCCCGTATCTGTAAATGTGACAATATGATGGGCTTAAAATATATATATATATTTATATATATATATATATTTATATTTATATTTATGATTATATATTCTCAAAATGTTTATTGTATTGAATAAAATAAATACAGGGGAATATCTATTAAGAAAATCATGACCTTGGGAAAGGTTGTTTTAATTGACCACTAAGTTGCATATAACTTTAAAAACATGTTTACATGCAAACCAGATGGTGACATGTTGTAATAACAATTAGTTAAAAGACTGGACATACGTGTATTCTACAACTATCAATTTCCAGCTTGGTCAAAACATGTCAATTAGAGTCAACTTAATAGATATTCATCCATGTACCTTTAGAATTAAAACTATTATTGTCAAATTAATAGAAACTTTGACAAACTGTTATATTCTGTATATATACCTATGTATTTACTGTATGGGACAGATCGGCTCATTTGGCGTAAATAAATAAACTGTTAACTAACTATCTTGTTGTGTTACACAGTCTTTGTGGTGTACCGTGCCAGGACGAATTCTAAAGAAAGGTACAGTGAAATTTTATTTGATAATCTTAATTATTATATTCTCAAAAATGGCTGAACAAGAATTCAATGTAGGGTTAGTTTTTCAAAATTTAGCAACACAAGTTCAAAGTCTTACTCAAAAATTAACTGCAAACGGTGTCAATTCGATAGTTGAAGGCTTTGATGGTTCAAATTCAGAAAAATATTCTCAATGGATTCGATCCATAGAAAAATATGCAATGATTACCAATTTAAATCCGAACGATTGTAAAATGGTATGTTATCAAACTTCTGTAGGGCCAGTAAGTGATTTCATTGCTAGGTGGTTAAGAGAAACAGATGCCGGAAATAACAGTTGGGATAATCTAAAAGCTCAATTGAATTTTCGTTATGGGCATATTCCTGATGCATCATATGCATTTGAACTTCTGAATAAGGTTCATCAGAAAGTTGGCGAAAATGTTCCCATATTTGGAGAACGAATTTTAACTTTAGCAACAGATGCTTTTAGAGGGCAAGATATCAATCAACCAATTGTTCAACTTCAATTAGTTAACTTTTTCATAAACGGGTTGTATCAAGATTATTTGAGAATGAAAATAATGCGTGAAAATCCACAAACTTTGGCTCAAGCAGTAAACTCGGCAATGGCTGAAACGCAATTAAGACGAAAATTTGACTTGAAAAAAAGTATCGGTAATGAGCGTAATATTACACCAATGGACGTATCACATTACCGAGAAATAGGTGTAAAATGTAACTATTGTAAGCGATTTGGCCATAAGGCAAAATATTGTAGGGATAATAATGCAAAATTTCATGTAAACACAGTAAGTTCGCGTGCCGAATTACATGTGCCCCGAAGGAATTTTAATGACAACACGCTAAGTAATAATGTAAATTCATATCCTCCTAGAAGGTTTAATTCTGTCCAAAATAATCCTAACTTAACAGGACAATCAAGAGGAACATTCTTCTGTTGGAATTGTGGTAAACCAGGTCATTATCAAAGAAATTGTAGAGCAAGACCAAATGAACAATTCGGGAAACCAAGAGAAAATTTAAACTAAGACGGTCTCTTTATGCTGAAGCCAATAGGGAGACTTTTAAGGGAATAAGGGGAAATAAGATGTTTGAGAGAAAAATTAATTATGGAAATACAAAACCTGTATATAATATATATGAATCATGGTTAAAAAAAT